GAGCTGAACTTCGGCTCGCGTTGACGGTAGGTACTAAAACAAGGAATCTCGGGATGGTAAATCGAACATAAGCAGACTGTTTATAAAGTTAATCTATCTGTAAGTGATGACAACACTTGCCCACAACGGGCTGTGGTGTAGCTGCGCACATAGCGCGGTGGCTGCGCGAGTCCAGAACTACTGCCGTACATGCGTGTGACACATCTTAGACGCCAGCTTTCACGTCGCGCTATTATCCGTGAGTTGGCAGGCTTTGACAGTCAAGTAGTGTATGAGCAAATAAGACTTGTATAGAGGAAACCATTCCGATTGAACATTGGCGCATTATTCACCATAGTAAATCTGAAGCTATTGAATTCACCGCGACGCGTAAAAAGATTGGTCTGGGAGGTTGATAACTGACGGGATAACTTGGCAATCTCAGAATTCGGAGTTAAGCTGCAATAGTTTTTCTCACCGGTGGCCTTTTACAGCATTCTCATAAATGTGAGGTCCACCCCTATTAGTGTAATCTGATACGTGCAACGTGGACCGGGATTGTGTACGGCACGAGTAGATGAGGTGTTACATTTTGTTATCCGTACCACAAAGGTTGAACTGGACGTCACACCCCCGCTACTGCACTCGTCCAGGCAACCACGAGACTCAACGCGCCGTTCTTCTAGAGCAGGCTCGTCTAGCAAAACAACTCTACCTCCCTATGTGAGTTCTCTATGTCACGCCCCTATGACTGGCTGTGGGGCTTGGCAGCTTGCAATGACGGAATGCACACCCGGATCGTCATCGGGCCGTCATCATCGAGGCCTCATGGTTATTTAATTTCCTTGTGGCCAGCGCATTTGGCGGAATGGGGTGTTACACTTCGCGCCTGGTGATGTTTTGCGCAGAGCAGTCGAGTATCACTTCTTTAGCTTTGATTGGTCAATCCGTGTAGCCTGAGGTGGCGGTATGATTTGTTGCTAGTTGAAACTCCAGTAAGACTAACGAAAGAGTTAGCTCTTTTCTCCTCAGCACTTACAAGCACGAGTATTACTTGTTTTATTTTAGGGAACACAGAGTAAAACATAGCACTTTTTTGTGTTTTTGGTGTCCAGAAAAACAGCCGTAGGGAGGGTTTTCCAGAAGACGAATGTGTCAGCGCGTACGGCCCAGTTGACGACGAAATAGGTGAAAGTTCTTATGGCATACGTACTTCAAGTACACAGGCCAGTTTCTGTGCGTGTTCTGTGGTGACAGGCCCAGGCAGCCGACCAGGTGTATGAGCGAGGAAAGAGATCCTGATACAGACACAGGGATCCTAGTATTGCTGCAGAACAGTGCATTTAGAAGGTTGGCAACTGATGGGATAATTCGATCCTTATGACGAGTATTTTTGTAGTGAATAGAGGAATGACAATCAGGTTGCAGTAGCTTCTTCCCAAGGTGACGAAAAAAAAACTTATTTTCCCCCAGCCGCCTCTACAGCAGTGGGGACCAGGATCGTGTGTGACACGAGTAGACG